CATCTTCTATTTCACTTACTACTTGTGGAAAAACTGCATTCCATGCCAGGCCTGGATGTTCCAAAGCTCAGTTCTGTGAGTAAATTGCAACCAAGATTTCTACAAAAAAAGACAGAAGCAAAAGAAGAATAAAAATATATATTCTTTCAGAACATTTATCCTTCGGCAATAATTCTAATTTATATATGATGAAACATAACATCACTACTCCCTCCATACAGTAAAGAAATCTCACTGTGGAAGATATTATGATTTATACTTTCATGATTATATATGTGGTGCATTAGATAGAAAATAGTAAATGTTCATTAAATACTTGTGTTAAGTGATCTTTATTTTTCTAGAAAGGCAGCACTCTTGGCATTTTTGGCTGGATAATTCTTTGCTGTGGGAGGCTTCCTTGAACAGTTGGATGGTTAGTAGAATCTCTGACCTCTGTTCACTAGATGCCAGTACCATATACAGTTCTGACAAGGAAAAATATCTCCAGACACTACCAAATGTCACCTGAGTGCAAAAATCACCCTAGTTGAGAACCATTGCTCCATAAAGATTCCTCTGATCTGTGTAATAATTCTCACACTAATCTTTGCTAGAGACAAAAAGGATTTGCTACATAATTTTAGTAGTAATTTATTCTTATTTCAAATTGAGTAACAAACTAATCTTATAAAAAATTAAGCTTTATAAAAATTCCAAATATAATGAAGTTATATTTGTAACTTACATAAACTGCAAAAAAGGTAGTGGTTCACATGTACGTCTTTCGATAGTCTGTATTTTATTGTAGGATAAATCTCTAGGAAATGTAAAAGGAAAATATTGCCTCAATTAGCTATTAGATATCTAATTAGTAAGAATAACTAGTAGAAGTTAGAATGATTATAATAAATAAGCAGCTTTGTTCTAATCTCCAAACCTTACGAATTACTATTTGAACCTTCCAGAGCCCCTAACCCTGCCTTCACCTCTCTTAAGAGTCTCACCTTCAGGATCTTCATAAATTAAATATACAACTACAGATCTTTATAGATTTTGGAGGTAATCTTTCCTGAGAGCAGAGGCATTGATTAGATTCCAACTTTTGTGGTCTTCTCAAATTCTAGATTATGAGCTCAAAGGTTTTATCTCTATATATCATTATAATTTCTAATATTAGAAGGAATATTCTTATATTTACACATTTCCCAGTATAGTTCTGTTTTTCTACGCCAATTCATTACCAGAAGAAATAAAAGATACCCTTTCACACAACTTGAAAGGAAGTTACTCCTATGATTAATATGTAATGTTAATTCAGGATTACACTTTCTATCATATTGACTTTTATTCGAAAATACCTACTCTTGACGATAGCTGACTATCTTATTTCCATTGATTCCAGCTTAGTCTCTCATTTCACCTAGATCGGTATAACTGTCTTCTGACTGCTGTTTCCATCTCTACCCTCTCCCTTTCTAAAACATGCTCCACAGGATCACCAGGTTAACTGCTCTGGCCGTGGAATCAGCCTCACCATCAGCAGGTGATTACTGAACAGGGACTGCATGGAGCTTGGACCTACCCAACAGCAAACCTGCTCTATCAGTGGGATCAGCCTCATACACCAACAGGCACACACCAGCTCCAGGAATACCACATTCCAGCAGCGTGTGTGACCAGAACACTCACCTGCAGGCCAGAAGCAGCCATGGACTCAGCTGGTCCTGACCCTGCCCATCAGAATGCCAACACAAGATTAGGGATACCCCAGACCCTGCAGATAGCTGTGTCAGGGACAGTGATCCAACGCCAACTCTGCAACTCCTGGGCCCTGCAGCCAGAACTCAGGACCTGTGTCTTCCTCCCAGTAGCCAGCATAGCCCCAGGACCAGGGACTGGGCACTAGCCCTGAAATCACCTGGACTGCAGTTCAACCCATAAGTGATCCAGCACTAGATGTGGTGTCCCCCAGAGTTGTACAGCCAGCTGCCTTATGATTTAGCCTCACCAAGCAGCACAGACAGCTTCCGTACTAGGCAGAGTCTGGCAAACATGCACTCTGGGGGCAGCCAAGGCTACCAGACCACCCACAGTAGTCAGCCCACCACAAAAGAAGAGCCCAAGCAGCCCACACAGGGGGTACACCTTGAACATATAGTTCTAGTGACCAGGGGACAGTGGGCTGCTGGGACACATAGGACCTCTCTTACAAAAGGCCACTTCTCCAAGGTCAGGAAATGTAATGAGCCTACTATATACATAGCAATAAAAACAGCAAGTTAAGTAAAATGAGGTGACACAGAAACATGATCCAAATGAAGGAATGAGATAAGAACTCAGAAGAAGATCTAAGTGAAGTGGAGATAGCCAATATCCTCAACAAACAGTTCAAGGTAATGACTATAAAGATGATCAAAAAACTCAGGAGAAGAATGGACGACCAGAGCAAGAAGTTAGAATTTTTTTAAAAAGAGTTAGACCATTAATGAAAAACAAAACAGAGATGAGGGATACAAGAACTGAAATGAAAAATACACTAAAAGGAAACTACTGTAGACTAAATGATACAGAGGAATGAATCAGAAAACTGAAGGACAGAGTACTGGCAATCACTAAAGATGAACGGTAAAACAATAGATTAAAGTGAAATGAGGAAAGTTGAACAGACTTGTGAAACAACATCAAGTGTACTAATATTTGCATTATACTTGTCCCAGAACCAAAAAAGGAAAGAGAAAGCAGTGTAGAACATACCTGAAGACATAAGAGCTGAAAACTTCCATAACCTGGGAAAGAAAACAGACATCCATGTCCAGTAAACACAGTAAGGGCAAAACATGATCAACCCAAAGAGGACCACACCAAGACTCATTGTAATTAAAATGGCAAAAAAAATAAAGATAAAAAGACACTATTAAAAGGAGCAAAGGAAAAGCAACAAGTTACAAACATGGGAACTTGCATAAAGTTATCAGCTGACTTTTCAGGATAACCTCTGCATGCCAGAAAGGAGTGGCATGGTATATTTAAAGTCATGAAAAGGAAAAGCCTATAACCAAAAATACTCTACCCAGCAAGGCTCTCCTTCAGATTTGATGGTGAGATCTAAAGTTTTACAGAGAAGCAAAACTTAAAGAGCTCAGCAACGCCAAACCAGGTTTATGAGAAATCTTAAAGGGGCTTTTCTCAGTGAAAAAGGAAAGGCCACGACTGAAACATAAAAATTAGGAAAGGAAACTTACTAAA